CAACGTGGAGTCTGGTTGTGGGACTGGGAGAATCAATGTAAAATATCTATTTTCGGTGTTCCTGTAACTGTTAACCTGTCCAGAGGACAGCCTCAGAGTTGTAATAAAATATGCGCCCACTGTTATCCTTGGGCTTAAACGAACTGATTCCTAAAGACATCCAGAAACGTCATTTTACAATGGTCACTGTTGCGCGCACGGCGCCCGGCCCCTGGCGTTACTTGCAGTGGCCAACGCCGTTCGGTTTTACGAAAACTGCAGCCCAGGCCATCGCTTTCCTTACTCCCGGGATTACGGACGCGTGGCAATGGGGCTTTAGGAAGCGCTCAGCTGCTGGGACGATATGGCGTCGCCTACCTCTCACCCTGGCGGGAAGGGCGGGCACCGCGGGGAATCGAAGCCCGTGGCTGTGGTTCCCCAGACACTCAGTGCCTAACGCAAACACGTTAACAACTACACTATCGGCAGTCCGGCGCGCAGGCTCGAACCTTTTGATGTTATTTATTTCTCTAGTCTATTATAAGTCGGCGAGAGGATGCGGACCAGGGCGGCGTCCTCTGGTTGATCCGCAGGCCCTTAGAGGGATACATAATATCACATCGGTCCACCCTCTGACGCCGGAGGCCTTCTGAACCGCGTAGTTGACCCCGGATCGAGGCATGAGCCGTCATTAACGCGACAACTTCCCTGCTCTTCGCAAGGGGTCAAATAATTGGCATATAAACGCTAGTGGGGCTTAACGGGCCCATGCTGGAATAGGGTTGGAGGGCCCAACGTTCGGTGCTGGGGGCCCTGACTGGCACAGGGTCTTCCATTGCCTCAATGCGAGCACTCATCATAAGTTCTTATGGTTTCTTCAATTGTCAGAAGGCCCCACCAACGCAAGAGATCATGTGTCATTCTGGCTCCCATCCCCGTCCCAGTTGAGCAAATATTCCCCTGACCAATCCGAGGCCCCTTGTTAACACAGAATGCCCTGCTAAGCACTGTGGGCCCCTGAACGATACAGGACCCCAACGAATGTAAATCGCGAGTCCGGCCTTGTCCCTACTTGGGAAATGGGCCCCCCATATCTCAGACCCACACGGAGCCGACTGTTCGTTGTTCGTGATCTGTGGTCAAAATAGACGAACGCTCTGTTTCAGGGGTCCCTAGCGGTACCAGAGATCAACTCACTAACATTTAAGATCACTGTCCTATGGGCGGGGTCCTTAATGCGACCTACAGCCAGCCTTCCGGACCCTTCAGCCATCCGATCGGCCCCGTGATCTTTGGTCTCGAGAGACTCTTTGTCCCCTCTTCGGGCCCCTTCAAACACCGCTCCGACTCGGGGCCGCTTGCCGGCACAGGACCCCTGTTAGGCCCTCTGGCCCCTAACCGACACAGGTGCCCCGTATGATGTCAACGACCCCGAAGATTGCAAAGTGTGGGCTCCGGCATCGCTTCTGCCGCTTCTTCATTTCTTGGGGAAATGGGTCCCAACTGCTCAGACTGACGTGGAGCCGACTGTTTGGTGTTCGTGGTCTGCCACCGACTTAGACAGCCCCATTGTCTCAGGGTGCCCCAAACGGCGCAAGAGGACCTCTGGCTGATATTTCTGGCCACGACCCTACGTGACGCGATTCTTTATGTGACCTACAGGCAGACCTTCGGGCGCTTATGTCCCCCACCGGGTCTTTTATCGTCGGTTCCGGCGTGCCGCCTCGGCCCCTCTTCGGGCCTCATCGATTTTTCCCTTGGCCGGCTCGGGGGGGGGGGGGGGGGCTTGTGAGCATGGGATTTTCTGTTAGGCGCTGTGGGCCCTGACAGATACAAGGCCTTGACCAGCGCAAATCACTGGCCCCGGCTTTATAGCTGATTGGGAAGTGGGTCTTCAGGCTCTTACCGACGCAGGGCCGACTGTGAGATGCTGGCGGTACTGGTGGTGCCTGGCCGACATTTAGGCCCATATCGACTCAAGGGCTCCCCGATGGATGCGAAGGGCCCTCTGACCGTTATTTGAGAGTCCGTCTTCGCAGGCCGGAGCCCTGAATAAGACTCCGACCAGCCCTTATCCCACTAGTCCCTCGAATCGCGTTCTTCATCGTCGGACCCGTTGGGCTCTCTAGGCTCCTCGGACCTCCTCGAGCACTGCCTTTGGCCGGCCCGGGCCCCTCGACAACACAGGGACCCTTCTAGACGCGGTGGGGCCCCGAGTAATGTAAATCGCTGGCTCCGGCTTTGTCCATACTTGGGAAATGGACCCTCAGGCCCACCCCGCCACGCAGTCGACTGTACGTTACCAGTGGTTTCGGACCGAAATATAGGCCCTTATCGATTCGGTGGGCCCTTAGGCAAATACGGCCACAGAGCCGACCGTGTGTTACTGGTGGCGTCTGACCGAAATATATGCCCTTACTGATCCAGTGGGCCCCTGATTAGCGTGCAGGGCCCCCTAGCTGGCATTGGAGTGTACGACCCTACGGGCGGGGCCCTTGACTGGGACCTCTGGCCGGTCTTTCAGGCTATCCGAACACTCAAATCGGGCCCGTAATCGTAGACTCCGAGGGGCCCGAAGGGCCCTTCGGAACCTGAGAGGGGGGGGGGGGGGCACGTGCACCTGTGCCCCCTGGCACATTCTACCTGACACCTACGACCCAGACCCCTTAGTTATTTAGCATGCAATGGGGACTAAACAGCACTAAACCTGACAGTTGACAGTCCGCACCTGCCATGTACATTCGAACGTAGATAACTGCATTTCCACTAGCCAGTTCCAGCAACGCTTTCGGCGATGGTATATGAACAATGCAACATTGGATCACAGCTCTTGCAATGACAACTAGCTGGCAAAAGTTACAAACAGATCGTCATCTTACTTAACTAAAGCGATACATTTTACGACTGACAATCGCATTTCGCACAAACAAGCCCAGCTAAACTCCACTTCACTCGGCCGCTGTGTTCCATTTAGCAAGGAACTGAAATGATCTAAACCGAACAGCTGAACCAGAGGTGGGCTAACGTAGACACCGATTGTCGTTTCGTCAGGGTCGCCCGAGGCCATCTCTCAGGTCACCCTATGATGAGCTCATCAGGTCACCCTATGATGAGCTCATCAGGTCACCCTATGATGAGCTAGCAATCAAGATAGGCTCGGGCACTGCGTAGAGATTTGAGTGCTGTGCGTCACTTTAACCGCATTCCAAGGTTACTAAATTTGGAGGTCATAGTCCATAGTCTCGCTTGTGAGTTGCGTGTTGCGCGAATACAGGCATTGCTGCGAGAAGTTACAGGTCGCGACGTACAAACCGCATGTGAAACGAGACGACATTTCTCTATTGGTGTTTATTTCATATAGCCTCAGCAGAAGCATGCTTGCAGCAGTTCGAGCAGAAATAAATAAGTGGCCAGACATCGGTTAATTAATTGTCGTAACAATTGACAATATAAAATGTGACTAACACTTGTAGTTCATTGATAGCAGACAGTCTTCCTTGATTTTAGCATAGGGAATAGGATATAGGGAGCCCGTACTATGTAACATACTCTGGGTCCAGGCTGAGATTTAGCAAACATTAGTTCAGGATCAGCAATATTGTGTTTGCTGCTTAGAAATTACAATAACAAGCTTCGTGCTGATGCCGCTGAAAGCTTGTTACCGAATGCTGCATGCCGTTTATTTTACCGCTCTAAAATGGTCTGTTAATTTGACTAGGGCACGTCGTGTTTCCTCATCTTACCATTTTCATGTGAGCCACATGACCCACTGACCCAAATTGATAGAAATGATCGGCTCACGATTCAACTCACGAAATTTGCTGAGAATGTGATTCGGCTCACGACTCAAAGCGACATTTTTCCTAATGAACTGACTCAGCTCACGACTCACGCCAAAACGATTGACTCATGAGCCGATCTATAATCCAGCTCCAGTTCAACACAAGTCTGCCCAAGGCGTGATCATTTGACCTACTAGACTTGAGAAATGCAAAAAAAGCAGATGCAGGCTTGTCGTCACACCTTATGACGCCATAAGACCTGTAATCCCTGTCCTCTGATTCAATCCCTTTTTTCGTTTGAAGCCATTGACGCTAATCGCATAGTTTTGCACAACATCCCGGCGAGGAAACAGGCACATGAATTGATGACTTTGCGATGTGTTTGGTATACACTTTCACATGAAGCTGACAGAAGTGACTGACAGCGTTGGTCGTTGAGCCTGGTATCAGTTCCGAGACACCTTGCCTCCCTGGGCCGTCCTGGAGGGCAGCACAGTCGCCTGCAGCGGACACCAGATGTTAACGCCGCACGAAACTCATCCCTCTGTCGCTGCACTCAATAGTCATCTCGGTTTTGCAAGACAGCACGTCTTGCGATGCGTGGATATCGTGCTCGCCTTATTTATGCTTACAATGGGATAGCTATTTGGCGGAGACGTGTTCTGCGATGCCATCGACGTGGCGATGCGCCTTTACAATTCAGCACGGTATTAACATGCTACGAAGGTATCAAAGTTGTTGCACTGAAAAACTTTGCCGTTTGTTTTTCCCAGCGTTCTTCTTCTCTGCAGACAAATTCCTATTTCCTTTGATGACATTGTTTGGAAGAAACGAAACGAAACCCGCGCTGCACCCGTCGAACCCATCTGAACGAAAAAAACCTGGCTGGCGCTGCGATAATTCCCGAGAAGACCTGATCATGGTCCCTGCTGATAACCAATGGCATGACCACCTGAACACAAAGAAAGCCATAAAACCTGTCTGACTGTCTGGCAGTGGTCGTTGCCGGGTTTTTCAGCGTCTGCCGACGCGGAACGCCGCGCCGTACACAGCAAAAAGTCACCACGCGCTCTGTTTAGACGGCGCGGTGCGTCGCGCCGCCGTCCTGCGCCGTTTTTGTGGGCCGCGGCCAGCGCCCGAGTTTTTCTACGCCTCGACCCGTCTGGCTGGCCGCCTGGCGGCAGACAGCCGAACTATGCGGTGCGCTGTCGGCCGAGCGGCCGGCCAGTGTCGGCTGGGAGGGCTGGCGGCAGGGCCGCTGGCCGGGCGCTGACGGCGCGCTACGGCCTCCCGCGGGCTCACCGCCCGCCACCATGTGGACCGCGACCAGTTATGTCATTCGAGCTGCTCGACACGAACGCAAACGGGACGGACACTGCTCTGGACGCGCCTGGATGGGGCTCAGCTTCAGGTGAGCGGGCGGCGAGCTGCGGAGTCGGCGCGGGCTGGGCGGCGAGACGGGCGCTGCCTGCACTGCGGACGACGCTGTTGCTAGGCGGGGGACGGCGGCTCGGGCCGGGCCGGCACGCGATCTGGGCGGCGATGTTTACGGATGCAACGGATGGAAGGCGGCCGGCCGGCCCGCCGCCGGCCCCTCACCAGCCACCGACGGCGGCGGCCGGGCGGCGCCGTACGCGTCCTTGGCGCGACTTTCCCCATGCAAAGGCTGTGACGAGTCCGTCTGAGGCGCCGTCGGCGGACGTTTTCAGCTGCGCCGCTCGGCAGAACTCGAGATGTGCCCAGCTGTCTGCGCTGTGCTGGTGGATGGGTTGACGGCCGGCCTGCACCATGAAACGGGCCGCGCTCGCCAGGCGTCGGATCAGCACATTCTCCTCCGCACGCAACGCCGCGGCGTTTGCATTTCGCCAAGTGCGGGACGTCGGCATTGTGTGAGCGGCTGTAAGGCTCTGAATTGGATGCGCTGTGCGATGATCCAGCAGATGAGTGGAGACTCTTGATAGCTGAAGTGCGGGTAACATAAGCCTGGGGCTGTATGCTGAGTCCCAAACCAGCTGCGGACTTCCGTCCGTTCGTAGTTTTGCCTACCTCGACGGCATGGGTAAACCCGTAAACGTCTCCAGAAATCGAATGGCCAAACCGATATTTAAAGTCTGTTCCTTTCATGCATCAGCCGAGGATTCAAGAGATTGGGTCAGAAAGTAGCTCTGAACCTGCATGAAGGCAATATTTGGATGTGTTTTCTTCATTCATTTCCGCCTTACTTGTGCTGCGAGTTTTCGTATCACGCCTTAAGAGTTCAGCAAAATTTGGCTTTGGGATTGAAGCCAATATGAGGCGGTCTACGCGACCCCGGTATTTTCATTACGGCACCGTTCGTTGTACCTTGTTCATGCTCTATTTGTACATGGTGATACGGGAACCTGTGGCGTATGAAGGAAATGCTTCAGTCGTTTGTTATTTGCAGGGATGGAGAAGACGCTTATCTTACCCTGAGAATTTAGGCTCGTTTCAAGGGAAATGCAATCCAAACCTTTATATTTGAATTCCATGCGTGTAATTTTAACCTTCGCGGGGCTTTTGCGCCCATCTGTTATGTATGCAGCGACCTTTGAAATAGCACAGAAGGCACGCGATGGTTCAAGGAAAGGATGCGTGACCTCTATGCACCATGTGTAACGAATAAGCTTTTATGCTGCGTTTGAGTTGAAGAGGACCCCACACGTAGCAATAAATGATGAATTTTGGTGTCTATTTTGGTGACGATTTACAGAAGGAGGTGTTCTAGCGCACCCAACATCATCCGTAACTGTTAAGGTATTATAGCGGTGAATAGTATCTGGCTGTTGTCTAACAAAATATGAAACAGTTCTAAACTAAACCAAAGCGCGCTTTTCAAAGCGGCTTTTGTACGAGATTGGAAGTTCAAGGCGGGTTTCTGTACAGCCGCCATAGAGGCCTTTCAAGTTACCGAGCTGCATAAGCTGGTAAGCGTCGGCAGCTGGAGTTCAGGGCCGGGTGCAGCTGCGCTCGGTGAGTTCCACTGAGGGATCCTCCGAGCTTACTGCGAAAAAGATTCTAGGTGGACGCCACTGATAAACCCAAGGCGAAGATAACGGAACCATAAACCCCCTGCCAATGCGGTAGAAATGACCGCCTTTGCTTCTCCTTTAGGCTTGGCTTTCGTGTGAGTGGCGTCACGTTCGGATCCCGCCCCCCCCCCCCCCCCCCCCTCCCATATCCTGGGACAGCCCAACCCAGGGTGGCCCACCGCAGCTCGGTGCGGTCCAGCCAGCGGGACACTGGACGCACTCAGGTGTCGACGATCTCTGAGACTCCCGTTTGGAAGAGGGTCCAATGCAGCAGCCTCTCTGACAGCTAACAGATGATGGCACCTTCATGGTACCAGACTGTGAGATGGTCCAGAATGACATTTTCTGTGGTAGGTGTCAGGGAGTCTCAGTGCTGGTGGTCAGGTAGCGCCAGTCAGCAGTTTGCCTTCCGAACACCAGTGAGTCTCAGTGCTGGTGGTCAGTTGGTGCCAGCCACCGGTCTGTCCTCCGGACACCAGTGAGTCTCAGTGCTGGTGGACAGATGATGCCAGCCAGCGGTCTGTCCGCCGGACACCAGTGAGTCTCAGTGCTGGTGGTCAGTTGGTGCCAGCCAGCAGTATATTCGCCGGACACCAGTGAGTCTCAGTGCTGGTGGTCAGTTGGTGCCAGTCAGCGGTCTGTTCGCCGGACACCAGTGAGTCTCAGTGCTGGTGGTCAGATGGTGTCAGCCAGCAGTCCGTCCTCCGGACACCAGTGAGTCTCAGTGCCGGTGGTCAGTTGGTGTCAGCCAGCAGTCTGTCCTCCGAACAGTAATGAGTCTCAGTGCTGGTGGTGTCAGCCAGCAGTCTGTCCTCCGGATACCAGTGAATCTCAGTGCTGGTGGTCAGATGGTGTCAGCCAGCAGTCTGTCCTCCGGACACCAGCGGCTCTCGTGCTGGTAGCGTCTCACAAGGGCGCCTCAGTTGATGTGCTGCCCGTGCGCATGCTGTCGCCATGGAGTGGCACCTCAGTATGGCCTCAGTGTGGCCTCAGTATGGCCTCAGTGTGGCCTCAATGTGGCCTCAGTGTGGCCTCAGTGTGGCCTCAGTGTGACCTCAGTGTGGCCTCAGTGTGGCCTCAGTGTGGCCTCAATGTGATCTCAGTGTGGCCCCAATGTAGCCTCAGTGTAGCCATAGTGTGGCCTCAGTGTGGCCCCAGTGTGGCCGCCACCACATCGTCACCTCGATCCAGAACAGTGTTGCCGCCGGCTGCCGGACGCCGGCAACTCCAGCAACACGCCATGTGCGGGCCGCTGGAACGACTTGTGTGTGTGTGTGTGTGTGTGAGGGGGGGGGGGCGAAAGACGCGGTATTATACGGTATGTTAAGTGACAAGCGCAGTTCCACTCTAAGAGAGAATGAATCTCTTAGTTAAAGGGCACGTGAACTCTTATAGGTGATATTTTCGGGATTTACGTAGCGGCCATATTCACCCACTGACCTCATTTTGAAATACGTGTTATGAAATACGTGAGGGACTTCAGGCTCGAACATCGACCTCTCCTCAGTACGTACCAGTGTGACCTCGTCACGATCGATCCTGTAAATATCCGAATTACATTAGCAATATTTAACATCACGCGTCTGCTTGGTCGTACTCCCCGGCGGCCACCGCCACCCGCCGCGGCGGAGATCACATGCCGCAAACATCGCACCGTTCAGACTCGTGCGGTGCAGCTGGCGGGCAGGCCCGCAGCGTCAGCCGCTTCACTGGCCCGGGGGGGGGGGGGGGGGGGGGGGGAGATGGGCCAGCCCATCGAGTCGTCAGGACCTCACCGTTCGGAAAAGCTCGGCCCTTATCGGACCTGGTCCGTGATGGGAGCTGCTTGTGCGCACCGTCTACTGAAGCTGACGGTGACTCGCGTGTACACCGTCTACTGAAGCTAATGAACACTCTTGCTCATCTACTGAAGCTGATGGACTCACGTGCACCCCATCTCGCGTGAATCCCATCTACTGAAGCTGACGGACTTGCGCGTACCCCATCTACTGAAGCTGATGAGTTCGCGTATGCCCCATCAACTAAAACTGACGGACTCGCTTGTACCCGTCTGAGAGAGCGCACCTTTTGCAGGGGAACGTCAGTTGACATGGACGTTTTCGCGCGCATGCATCTGTCGGTGCTCAGCTCCGCAGTTTGCTTTATATTTACTAGTGATGCGTTATTTTAGCGAGCCCGACAGCTGTAAACATTTGCCTCACCAACCGGGCCATGATGAGGCAGCGGACAATCGGGCAAGCCCCCAGAGACTGGCCAGGTGGCAGTCAGGGCACGGTGGTAAAAAGCAAAAGCGACCATGCCAGCGGCCTACACTGGCCCCTAAGGGGATTGACCCTGGTCCCAGTCCCACGCTTGAGGCAGTAAGGTGGGTTTCGATGCTGCATCATTCGGTCCTCATGTATTACGAACCCTTGCTCTGACAGGCGAATCTATGCTCTGAATTAAGATGCGGCCGAAAACAGCTTGCAGTCGTTCAATGCGTGCTGTGTCGAAAATGATCCGTTTCGTCCTGATTTTTTGCGGATTCAATTGCTCCTTTACGACCCAGCCGTGGCCGGACAAGACTGCATGCTTTAAACCCAGAGATCTTTCGGTAAATTAGAACCCGAACCACTGTCTGGACACACTAATTTTTCCAAACCTATAGGTCTAGCAGGAGTCGGGCACCCGCCACTTGACTTGCAGCCCGGCTGAGTTAGCGGCCACCCTATAGGTCTAGCAGGAGTTGGGCACCCGCCACTTGACTTGCAGCCCGGCTGAGTTAGCGGCCACTGTGAGGCCCGCCGGTGTCCCAGGCCATGTGAGGGTGCGAAGGCCCTCCTGAAGGTACCTGTGATAAGCCCCGGTGTACAGTCTCACGCCATGTGAGGCTGAAACGGCGCGGCGCCCTCTTGGGTGAGCATGTGCGGCCCTCTTGGGTGGACGTGTACGGCCTCTTGGGTAGACATGTGCGGTCCCCTCGGGTGGATGTGTGCGGCCTCTTGTGTGAGCATGTGCGGTCCTCTCGGATGGACGTGTGCGGCCTCTTGTGTGAGCATGTGCGGTCCTCTCGGGTGGACGTGTGCGGCCTCTTGGGTAAACATGTGCGGTCGTCTCGGGTGGACGTGTGTGTGTAGTCTTTTCGACCTGCTCACACAACCGCCAGCGTTAAATATCTTGCCAGCTAATGGTGTACAGACCTACCACGCAAGCTGGCACTCACTGGACCGTTCACAAAATACTGGGGCGACCTGGCGCCCACACCAATCACGGGGGCGGAGGGTGTGCGCGGACCAATCGCACGAGGAAAGACTTACGTCTGGACCAATCAGCGAGTACTTGATATAAGCAACATAGGGCCCAAGCTCCTGCTTTTCGCCAT